GCATGGGTATCCTTTAAAGTCTACACAGAAACTTCAGTTTGTATAAAATGAAACATCCCAGGTGCTAGTATGTAAAAGTCATCTCTTATATATACCACAAATGTTGCAGGTGCTGCATTTGTTGCTGAACAATTCAGAGTGATGATTTTCACCTGCAAAGTTTAGAATAGGAAAACTCGGAGTTTTCACAATGACTAAAGGGGCCATTTCAACAGTCTATCATTGATGTGAGCCCTGCATTTTTGTTTCTAAAAAGGAAATAATTGAAAATTTTTACTCCTTTCTAACATGTTTTAATTGAGCCAGAAAGAATACTTTTATAATGAACTTCATAGGCTATGAATCAGAGCTAAATCCATCTGTTCAGTTTTTGCAACATTTTAGTTGTCATTGAACGTGAAAAAGGCACAGTCGGTTCCTGACTCACATAATGGGTACTTTAATATCTCTTGAGTCTAAAATTCTACTTTGCACAGCTTGTAACACCAACTTTTTCTTTCTTGTTAAGTGGGAGGAATACTGACTGAGAGTATTCAAAACAGCACCATTACCACCTGTCATTTCCTGATACTCAGCTGGAGAACAAATGAAGAGATCCAAATTTTAAAACTGAAAGAAATGCATTTGCTCCATTGAAGAAAATTGCCACTGCTCTGGTTATCAACTCTGCAAACTGCCGACGCACTTTTGCGCCCAACAGCCTTCTGTTTTAAATCAACGAACATCAGCATCATCGGTTTTTAAGTATGGGCAGTGCGGACTTTTTGCCTGAGACTAATCAAGGTTAAATAAAAGTGTCTTGAGAGAAAACTAAACCATAGCATAATTTGCTTCATTTTAATTTATTGTATGGTGGTTATATTATTTATATATTATTTATGGCATAAGAATTAAGTATGAACCAGCCATTATGTTTGCCATGGTTTGATCTGATGTAAATGTAGTTGCACATTAGACATCTGTAATACTAAATTCCAGGTTCAGAGAAGAAACGGAGAGAAGCAAATATGCTGTTTGGGGAATATCTGTACAGTACAATTAGAAATTAGACTGACTTATTTTCATCATTTGAGATGATCTTATAATCACTTCTGTCCAATGAGACATGGCCTAATATGTAACTGGACAATAAGATCTAAAAACACAAATGTAGATTGTTGAAAAAGATAAAAGAAATTAGTATACTAATAAATGTATTATAAGTTGCTGAAAGACTATCTGCATTAAAAAAATATGTCTACGCATCGGCAATTTTAGAAAAAAAGTGGAGGAATTTTCCTTTGTTTCTGTAAACAATTTTCCTTTGTTTCTATAAACAAAGATATAGTTTAGATATAGTATATGCTCTTTGAATGTTTAACTCATTGTCCAATGAAAGTGACTGTCTTAAATGAAACCTGATTGCGATGTGAATCTATCCAAAATTGAACTGAAAAGCCTGCTTGGGTGGGGGGAGTTCTTCAGAATCCTGAATTGTTAATGACAGCTTCTTTTGCTGTCAGAAACAGTGGGTTGTTACTGAAAATGCATTAAACTGATTCACGCTTCTGGTTGGTGTAATTGATGGCAAACCACCACCTTCAAATTTCAAGTCAAAGACAACCCACACACTTCCCTCTTCCTTTAATTCTTTCATGTGGTCCTGGGCAGCCACATGGTTGCCATTATTGGATGAAAAGGGCAAGAATTAATTCCCGTTTCCTAGGAAACAACTGTGACTACAAAGTGTCAATTGAAGTGATTTTAAATAAGTCATGTTTAGTCTGTGGTAATACAATCTATAGCAGAGCTTTTATACTTTTCCCCAAATTTTACCTCTTTTAATAGAGAAAAATACTTTTCCAAAAACCGAAAAGGAGAGTTAAAGTCGAGAAGGAACATTATGTCTACTTATTTTTAAACTTTTTTATTTCTGTTAGATGCATTTGAAATGGGTTTTAAAATATTTTAATGTTTTAAAATAATAATTGTTCTAATATAAGATTATTCATAATTAATAATTAAACCCCAGATTATAGAGTGATTTTGCCCCCTTTATATTTATACCTTGCACTCTGTGCGAAAGAGGTGAGAAAGCCTGTTGTTTTGTTTGTATTTTTGAGTTATTTTAACATTATATTTAACATTGAGTTATTTTGAATTTATATTGCCCAGAATTGTAATGGAGTCAGGCAACATTGTAAATAAGGCTAAACCAAGCAGAAAGAATTGAGAGATGAAAGGAAATAGGCATTACAAAACAGAATCAAATTTTAGAAAAGCACCACATGCCATTTGTAATGAGAAAAGGTAAGACTAGAGATAGAATATTTTGTTTCTATAAGTAGCTATCTTCTGTAGTAAGCCAGTAAAGCTGATTTGGTATCTTCTAGGTAAAATGGTACATTCAGTCTTCGATTTAATTCTGATCATGAGAACAAAGTTCTCTAAATTTAGTTTGTTCAAGACTACCTGTATAAGCTTGGCCTGGTTCTAGTACGTTTTAGTGTGTGATGCTCCTGAGCGCTACTGTACAATATATGTACATCTGAGTAATAATAGGTAACTGCTGAAAACTGCCTAACATTGAACTCTTACTGACTAGACAAGTAGAGCAGCATATGCAATAGCCATAAAATAGCCACAAAATCCTTATTGTCAGAAATTAGATCAACATCTAGAATTTTAACTGCCTATCAAAACCTTTCCTATCAAAATCCTTCCTATTGACACCTGTCCTAACAATATTTAAAATGCCAATCCTGCTAATAGTGATTTATTTCAGTTATTACATGGTACTACTGTAGAATATTATTGAAAGTAATTGTCTTCCATCACCTCTTGCTGCTTCTTAATTGCTTCCTCTTCAGCCCCACCAGATTAAAAAAATACAAAGCAAACTTCCATCCAGAAATTGAATAGAACAAAGTGTGGATAAGATCTGTTAATATACAGTACCTCTCTGAGCATTATCTCACACCTCAGCTGTGTGAGCCAGGAGGCTTCCACAGGGTATTATTTTCTATTCAGAAAGATAGAAGAGAGCCTTATCCTGTATTTTGTTCAAGAAGAAATTTATATTGACTAGATATCTAGTAAAGTTTGCAAAGCACAATCCTCTAAGTGCCTTTGAGACACCAGTATGCCTAAAATACTCTGTGCATGTTAGTTATTTGTTCTGCTTTGCTTCTAATTTTATCCAAGACCTTCTGTTTCTTCTCAACGTAACACTTTGTCCTCTTTGAAACATTGTCTAGAGGTTCATTTAACTGGGGATATTGTCTGATTTAAGGAAATATATGTTATAATGATCTGTTAATTTTTCAATCTTTATTAATTTGCATATGCAAACATGTTTAGAATTTTTAAAATTGCATGTTTCATTTTTAGAGGATGCATGTTTGATTATAATATATGCCCTTTTGGAAAAAGCATTTCTTAAGTGAGTTAATAGGAAATACTCTTCTAAACTGTAGTTGCTGCCCTATTTTATAAAGTTTATTAAAGGCTCCAAATCTTTGAAATTAATTGGAAGTTTCTTGTGTTAAATAATCTAAAGAATTTGATTAATAAAACATTACAGCCCCACTTTTCATTTCCATCCTTGCCAAGAATGAGGCAAGTTTCATTGAGCATAAGTGAAGTTAAAAATGTTTTTTGTTAAAATTAGACTTCCTCTAAACCAGGGGTGTCAAACTCATGGCCCACGGGCTGGATGTGTCACATGCTGGCCCCACCCCCGCCCAGTTTAGCAAAGGGGAAAAAAGTCCCCATACATCACGTGACAGTGCCGTGATGATGCGAGTTTGACAGCCCTGCTCTAAATGGACAAGCTAACCTTTGCTTGTTTGAATTAAATATTTTGAAGGTCAAAAGATACTGCTTAGAGCAGGACTGTCAAACTTACGGCCCACAGGCCAAATGCATCATGCACTGGCCATGCCCACACCTGGTTTAGCAAAGGAAAAAAAGTCACGATATGTCACATGATGCCGCCGTGACAATGCGAGTTTGACACCCCTGGCTTAGAGGAATAATACTATAAGAGATTTGGATTTTTTAAAAATTACTCTTGTGTTTGATAAAATCTCTTTATCACCAGCCAAAGCCTTATGAGGACCCAGATTGTTGGCCATATGCAGACTCTGTAAACCCTATAGAGAGGACTGTAAAGCAATTTGTAAGTCTAAGTGCTATTGCTTATGCACAACAGCTAAAACATGCACGGTGTACAGATAACTTCTACCATAATAATATAATAATGTGTATATCTTCAAACTCTTAGTGATTTGATAAAATTACCAGCAGGATGGTATAAAAGGAGAAACAGAACTGTCCCCATGAATGTTTCAGATCTTGCCATAATCAGATCCTACCAGAATGTTTAGAGATCTTACCTGCTAATTTTATATGCGATTGGCAACTTGGTGTTGCTGTCTGGGAAATGAGAATTTTTATGGGAAAAAAATACTATTCATCAGTGACCAGTGAGATTTCATTGACTGGGATGTCTGGGAAGTGGGTATCAAGGTGGTTTCCAAGATGGACTTTTGCCTAAAAAAATGACTTACCATTCTTATTCTCAAAGATTCCCAATTATGTGTCGCTGGTTAAGATTTTAATGTTGGTTAATTCTGATTTATTTTCAAAATATATTTTTTTTGCCCTGCTAATAGAATAATATTCCTATAGATTAATCAATGGAACAATTCGCTTGCCTCTAGAAGTTGTGAATGCTCCAACACTGGACGTTTTTAAGAAAGATCGGACATTTGTCTGAAATGTTAAAGGGTTTCCTGCCTAAGCAGGGGGTTGGATTAGAAAACCTCCAAGCTCCTTTCCAACTTTGTTATTCTATTTCTATGTTTTGGCTCTTTTTTCCATCGTATCTCCTAGTTACATCAAGCCATGCTCTTTAAAGTTCCCTCTTTAACCACCACCCTCTTTTTGTGGGGGATGAATTCAGCCTATCGAATTGGCTGGGATTAGCCGGTAGGGCTATCGCCCTCTTATGAATCTTGAGCTTTGCGAGTTTCCGTCGCGGCCTCCGCTGGCTGAGTTTCTGAGTTAGTGAGTTGGCTCTCAGTCCTTTTCTACCCTGAGTGACTGACTTCTTTCCCTACAACTGTTATGTCCCGGATCCTCAAATCGGTGGATTACGAGGTTTTCGGCCGGGTTCAAGGTGAGCAGCGGAAAAAGATACGGAAACTAAATATTAGGAAAGGGGTCAGGAGGAAGAGAACTGCGCTGGCAAAAAATAACTTCAGAGCGCACGAACTGTCTTCTCAGGTTACAAAGAAAAGCTGGCAAGGAGAACCGTTTATATAAAGCGAATTTAATTGCCAGATCATGCCGACCGTGCTGGCTCAAACCTGTTCTGTGCTCAATTAGTCTTAAAAGTGAATTGAGCCGGCAAGGCTGCGCGGCAGGTGCACTCACTATTTCCATGCCCCAGCTCCATTAATGTCCCAGTTACAAGTTACCATTACCTCCCGTGCTACCTTGGCAGGAGAGCTGTTCAACTGCTTTCTGGGATTAGCACGTGTTTTAAAAACGGGAGATAAATTTTCATTTTAAACTGGCAGTGAAAGATTACATTATTAAATCCTCCTTCGTGCAAAAGCTAGTCATCGGAGAGAATAGTCTTTTTCTTAATACATTTTATACATATTTATTGTTTATTGTACCCTATGACTATTATTAAGTGTTATATACCTCATGATTCTTGACTCTCGACGAATGTATGTTTTCTTTTATGAACACTGAGAGCATTTGCACCAAGAGAAATGCCTTGTGTGTCCAATCACACTTGGCCAATAAAGAATTCTATTCTATTCTATAATGGATTTAAACACATCAGCCATCTTTCAAAACTGCACAAACACACCAGTGAAATACAAAGATGTAGTAGGAACAGCAATAACTTGACCAATATATGTGTTCTGTCTTCAGGGAAGGCACCGTAAATATCGTATTTGAGCAGTGATTATGGATGATGACTGTGAGCATCCATGCTTTAGCCACATATTTTGAGGGATAGTTCAATCTTCTGTTTGTTTTCATAAAACTCCTCTTCAGCTCAAAACCACTCATCCTGGGTAAAATGATTGTAGATTTGTCACCAAAATGACTGCACATATAAATAAGCCAGGAAAAAAGAAAAAGAAATGATTATTTCCTACATCTCTTTCTCTCTAAAATCGCTAAGAGCTTTGCCCATCAAAATATAGCCCTCTCTGATGTAGGGAGCAAACAGTTAAAACCATAATAATAAAAATAGAACTAAAAATGCAATGTCCTTAATTTAAAACAAAAGTGTTAAAATATCTGACAACTAAATTAAAATAAAGAGCGGAGGATTAAAATTGATTGAGTGCAATAACAGAACCATAATAAAATATTTTCCTGGTAGGAAAATAATATAAAAATAGACACCAACAGGGCTTCCATGTAGGACATACCACAGTTAGGAAAACTCTGAAAGTACATAGCTATGTAAAACTATGAAAGTACATGGCTGAGTTCCACATGTAAAAGATGTAGAATGGAGAGTATGTCTGCACCATACATGTAAAGAAAAGCTATACTTCTCTGTACATACATCACTATTTCTGAATTGTTGTACAATTTGATGTGTCTTGTAAAATGATATGCACTCTCTCTTTCTATATGCGAATCTATGTAATAGTTCTGATTTAAATATTTTCTAGCTAACAAATGTATGATACTGTAATTCCATTAACTGCTAAATAATTTTTTATTTATTTATTTATTTATGTAATTTATATGCCGCCCATCTCACTATCCAAAGTGACATATTCCATTTGTGAGTTATGATTATATCAGTGAAACACTTGATCTTAAACATATTTACATAAGTGAAAGATAATTGAATATATTATTTTATTAAAATATTTTCCTACCCTATATGTACCTGAGTAAAATCAATAGAACAGCAACCAAGTAGCATAATAAAAATACAGATGATAAACTGTGATAAGTTTTTTATTTTGCTTTGTTTATCAATTCTCAAATGATCCCAAAAGAACCTAATAAAGGAACAATACAACAACTTAAGCAAAAACAGTTGAATATCATAGTGAGAAATTATTTTCCAATATTACCCCTAGCCCCAAATACAGTTCCATAACCCAGATGTGTATCTCATTAACAGTAGAGCTCAGTTGACAAATCTTCCACTGAATTCAGTTATACATCTGGATCTCACTGGATCTCTCCATTGTTCTTCCAATTTTCTTTGTTTCCCAAAATGTGTTACTTTTAATCGCTTTTCATTTTACCAAACCTTCTATCAAAGTAAAAACTGTCTGGCAATCTTTGATTGGTTGTTATAATGCTGTCTTATAAATAAAAATGAAATGTTGTTCCATTGAGCAAATATTTAAAGTTTTATTTTATTTTTTGTATTCTTTTTTCTCAGGGGTTTGTTTCAGAATGGTAAGGCACCATGAAGTATATCATCTTTACATCACGTCTCTGTAACTTTTTTGAGAATAGAATAGAAAATCTGTGCCAGAGACTTCAAAAATCTGCAGTGCAAAGTTTCTGTGTTAATCTGGAGAGTTAAGTATCATATAACTGTAATGTGTGCTTTAGAGGAAATCCTTTCACACTAAACCCTGATTTTATGACCATTAGTTATATAAATATCCTAATCTGTTTAATGTTTTATTTAGCCACATAAGAAAAAAGGTACCAGTATTGTACAAAGGGTCCCAGGTTACATGGAAATCTTGCATTTCCCATTATCCATATTTAAGATTGTGCAACCTGGAAAGACGGGAAAGCTCATCTTTCATAATGATCAAGAAACACAAGCAGACTTTGTTCACTTTACAAAGCAAAGTAGAGATTGTTGAAATGTTGGGAAAAGTTGAAACAGTTGACAGTACTGTATTAGCAGAGGCATTTCAAATTGGGATATCTACAATTTTACAACCAAAGGTCAAAAGACACCTTCTTGTATTTTCAGCAGTGGGGAATAAAAATTGAAAATGAAATGGAAAACAATGAAATATGGAAAAAATTGGCATTAGAAAATACTTTCTATGCAAGGTTTTTTCCAAATGAGTAGTCATGGTGAACAAGTGTCAAGCCCACTTCTGTGTGAAGAAGCCTTGGAAATGAACAGGAAATTAAATGGTAATCCAACTTTAAGGCGAGCTGAAGAAGGTTAACACAAATCAGGTTTTTCCATGGGATTCATCATTTTGGCATTCATTGTGTAAATTTTACACGCTGATCAAACAGGTATACAGTGCCTGAAACAGAAATTCACATATTTCAAAAATGAGAACTTCAATGCTGAAAATATTTTTAACACTCTTATTATTTCTGGACCCTTCCACTCTGAAGTATGTAGTGTATTAGAAATTGCTTTGCAGTGGCTACAAGATCAACAGGACTGAGATGTTGTACTGTTCCTGCAGGATTTGGCTGCAAAAAGATAATTCAAATAAAAATATTTCAGAACATTATTTAAAAAATGCAGTATAACCATCTGAATGGACATAATCCAAATTCTTTTGGGCACAAAGTGCAAATTATACAGTTATTTGGTTCTCACTTAAAAAAATTAATCCAGATGAATATTTGTTCCGTGTATGAATTTTCTCTCTCCTTCCACAGAAGCATCATTTATGTCTTATCTTGAAACTGTAAGTGCCAGGCACAGAACAAACTTATTTTAAAGCCTGGCACTTATTGTATCTTGAAGAAAGTACAAACCATAGCTTAGATCTTAAATTTCATAACATTTGCAGCATTCATGTAGAATGCTTCATTAGAGGACTTGGATTGGGGCATGGTGTCTAGAGAAGATAAGAGCATAGTTGCAAAAGACGTGCCATATTCTTGATGGCCTAATCTGAATAGTGTTTATATTAGTTATCTGTGCTGTGCTACACAAAAACCTTTTTTTTAAAGCAGACACATTTCTAAACAGTTATCAGATGGGGCGAGGCTGTGTATTAATTAGAAGGGTTTTTTTCCTTACTTGTTTCAGTTTTTCTGCAAAAATTTGTATAAGTAAAAAGTTGAGGTTTTATGTTATTACTTTATTCTACTGCATCAAAACAAGCTGAAAATCAATGCTTTTCTTTTTCTTTTCCCTTTTGCCATACACTTTTCTCTCTTTCCCTTTTCCTCCCTTATTTTCCTGTTATCTTTATTTTTCTTTGTATTTTATATTTTGATAAAATAATTAAATATTTGAATCCAGCATTATAGGGCTGGACAGGATATTGGAGGTCTTCTAGTACAATACCTTGCCCAAGGCAACTCTTTATACCATCCTGGAGAAATTATTTTTCCAAACTTTTCTTGAAAACCTGAAGTGGTGAAGCACCTGACCCTGAGAGGCAAACTGCCCCATTGATTAATAGTTCTCACTGTCAGGAATTCTTCCTTATTTCCTGGTTAAATCTTCCTCTGACAAGCTTCCACTCATTGCTTTTTGTCCTTCTTTCAGGTGCTATGGAGAATAAATTGATGGCCTCTTCCCTGTGACACCCTTCAAGTATTGGAAGACTGCTATCATATCTCCCCAAACCTTCTCTTCATTAGACTGCCCATACCTAGTTCCCTTAGCTGTTCATTGTATGATTTAGCCTCCAGGCCCCTTGTCATCTTTGTAACTGTTCTCTGCATTCTCTCTAATGCCTCAGCGTTTTTTTGTATCATTATTGGAAGAGGGAAACCTCATTTTGCAGTAGTTCTTTTTTCAGGACAAATCATTGAATAAAACTGAAGTTTTGAGACTGAACTGTACAGGTAGTCCTTGACTTACAATCATTCATTCAGTGACCATTTGAAGTTGCAACGGCACTGAAAAAGTGACATAACTTTTTCATACTTATGCCTATTACAGCATCCCTGTGGGTCACATGTTAAAATTGAAATCCTGGCAACTGACTCATATTTATAATGATTAGAATCATGTGATCACCATTTGCAACCTTCTGACCAGCAAAATCAGTGGGGAAGTCAAATTCATTTAACCATGTTACTAACTTAACAACTGCAGTGATTCAGTTAACAACTATGATAAAAAAAGGTCGTAAAATGGGGCAAAACTCACTTAACATAAATTTTGGACTCAATTGTGGTCATAAGTCAAGGACTGCCTGTATTGTCACAGTTTTAAATCCCGAATGCATGCTGATTATATCTTCTTCTTCTGTTTGTTTTCCAAACCAGTACACAGAGGATAAAGCTAGGAAAGCGGGTGTAGTTGGCTGGGTTAAAAATACCAGACAAGGAACGGTTACTGGACAAGTGCAGGGTCCAGAAGAAAAAGTGAATGAGATGTAAGTACACTGTTTCCTTGGTGTGCTGGCTAGCTTCAGTAAATTGCTAAGTTTGATTCAAATGCTGCTGCCAATTAATAAAGAACAAGCTTTCTAGAGATAGTGAAATTTAAACAATTCACCAAATGAATTTTCTTCAGAAGAAAACCAAACTCTGGTCATGAGAACTTGAAACCTCAAGCAAGCTAAACCAGAAATATAGAACTAAAGTACAGTTCAAGACATCTCAGTATTGACCCTGATAGTGCTGAGAATTGTAGTTCAGGAACACTTGAAAGGTCATAGATTTCCCTCATGATCTAAAGTCTTCCAGAAGGGAAGTACATCTACCTTGTTGGCACCCTATTTTTCTAATACAGCTAGTTGCTGTACTTGTCATTAATTGTGTTTTCTTTATATTTAATCTTAATCACATATTCTCTACAGTACTTCTGATTTTTATTATTAGAACTTTTAATTCTTTTACATTTTCAGCTATTAGAGTAATATTATCAATATAATGCTGGCTACTGATATTTCTTCCTCCAACTTTAAAACCATGTCTGTCTTCTAATCCAGCTTCTAGATAGATAGACAGACAGACAGATAGACAGGAGACAGATATATGTACAGAGATAGACACACATGTATATTTGTGTGTGTATGTGTGTAAGGAAAGACTCAAGGCTGATAGTGTGATTTTTTTCTCCTTATAGTTTGTGGTTCCTAGTACTTTAAGAGAGAAAAGCACCACACCTGTACTGAAGGGAGATAAAAGAGAAATGAGGAAGGCATAGGGTATGCTATTGATGGAAGAGAGAAAGGAAATTGTTGTAATGGAATGTGTGGATGACCTTGGGGGATAGGGTGGACAAATGCTACCTAGGAAACAATCAGAACAAGAGAGGTAGGAGCCCCCAGTGGTTTAATGGTCAGAGAAAGAAACTTAGGAAAGACCCACCCTAACTGATCAGTTAAAAATGGGGTGGGAAGTCTCTTCAAATTTGCAGGAGTCTATTAATATAATATTATGGCAAAGTAGACTTAGCTCATCTAATTGGGTTTCCTGTCTGGTTTGCCTGGAAGGGCTGACAATTGTGTTGGAAAATTAAAGCCAGTTATGTGTGAAAAAGGTAAAACTAAAGTAGTTGGAATGAGCAACGACCTTGAAATTATAACTATGAAAGCCTCATACTCTTTCCAGAAATGCAGACCAATTACAATCAGTCAGCAAGAAGTAATTGTTATTTTTCCTTCTTACAATCTAATGAAGACTGAAAGATGGAGAAGCAATTCAGGAAAAGGAAACAGTGCTAATTCAAACTTCAGTAGGACTTAACTGCTAAAAGTGGAGGATAGTATAGGATTAAATGTAAGGTAAAAAGAGATTAAGCCTGAATAAAAGGAACAGAATTCTCAGTGCTTTAAAATGAAGACAAGAAAAGAATCATGGTAATTCTGCTTTTAATCTAGAAAAGGCAGATAATTAAGGACACAGGGTAAAAGGGAAATTGTAACTTTGTTAAAGATATGATATCATTTATAAATTTAATATATACAGGTGAAACTCAAAAAATTAGAATATCGTGCAAAAGTAATGCAACTTCAGTAATGCAACTTAAAAGGTGAAACTAATATATGAGATACTCATTACATGCAAAGCAAGATAGTTCAAGCCGTGATGTGTCATAATTGAGATGATTGTGGTTTACAGCTCATGAAAACCCCAAATCCACAATCTCGGAAAATTAGAATATTGTGAAAAGGTTCAATATTCTAGGCTCAAAGTGTCCCACTCTAATCAGCTAATTAAGCCATAACACCTACAAAGGGTTCCTGAGCCTTTAAATGGTCTCTCAGTCTGGTTCAGTAGGAAGCACAATCATGGGAAAGACTGCTGACCTGACAGTTGTGCAGAAAACCATCATTGACACCCTCCATAACGAGGGAAAGCCTCAAAAGGTAATTGCAAAAGAAGTTGGATGTTCCCAAAGTGATGTATCAAAGCACATTAATAGAAAGTTATGTGGAAGGGAAAAGTGTGGAAGAAAAAGGTGCACAAGCAGCAGGGATGACCGCAGCCTGGAGAGGATTGTCAGGAAAAGGCCATTCAAAAGTGTTGGGGATTTTCACAAGGAGTGGACTGAGGCTGGAGTCAGTGCATCAAGAGCCACCGCACACAGACGGATCCTGGACATGGGCTTCAAATGTTGTATTCCTCTTGTCAAGCCACTCCTGAACAACAAACTACGTCAGGAGCGTCTTACCTGGGCTAAAGAAAAACAGACCTGGTATGTTGCTCAGTGGTCCAAAGTCCTCTTTTCTGATGAGAGCAACTTTTGCATCTCATTTGGAAACCAAGGACCCAGAGTCTGGAGGAAGAATGGAGAGGCACACACTGCAAGAAGCTTGAAGTCCAGTGTGAAGTTTCCACAGTCTGTGTTGATTTGGGGAGCCATGTCATTTGCTGGTGTTGGTCCACTGTGCTTCATTAAGTCCAGGGTCAATGCAGCCGTCTACCAGGAGATTTTGGAGCACTTCATGCTTCCTTCCGCAGACGAGCTTTATGGGGATGCTGACTTCATTTTCCAGCAGGACTTGGCACCTGCCCACACTGCCAAAAGCACCAAAACCTGGTTCAATGACCGTGGGATTACTGTGCTTGATTGGCCAGCAAAGTCGCCTGACCTGAACCCCATAGAGAATCTATGGGGCATTGCCAAGATAAAGATGAGAGACATGAGACCGAACAATACAGAAGAGCTTAAGGCCACTATTGAAGCATCCTAGTCTTCCATAACACCTCAGCAGTGCCACAGGCTGATAGCTTCCATGCCACACCGCATTGAGGCAGTAATTGCTGCAAAAGGGGCCCAAACCAAGTACTGAGTACATATGCATGCTTATACTTTTCAAAGGTCCGATATTGTTCTATGTACAATCCTTGTTTTATTGATTGCATAAAATATTCTACTTTTCTGAGATTGTGGATTTGGGATTTTCATGAGCTGTAAGCCATAATCATCTCAGTTATGACAAATCATGGCTTGAACTATCTTGCTTTGCATGTAACGAGTCCATCTCATATATTAGTTTCACCTTTTAAGTTGCATGACTGAAATAAATGAACTTTTTCACGATATTCTAATTTTTCGAGTTTCATCTGTAATATAACCTAATGTTTATATATATATTAGGTTTAACACATTAGGAGTATATATTTTGTATAAAAACTTTATATACTGTACATATCAAAGCATTCAACCTCTTGCTCCGTGGTTTTTACCATAACTTAATTGGAACCCTCTCGGTATTTAGAGAGAATAAATAAGGGGAGAGCAAACAGCTTTGTTCACTTCTTCGCCAATCTGCAGCTGGTCTGTTTTGCCATATTCTGATTGTACGGTGGCTTCCTGACCTGGGTATAGGTTTTGCGTGAGAACAGTGAGGTAGTCAGATGCCTGAAATGAAGAGGTTGGAAAAAATTTTAAGATGGCAACTGTTTGATAGAAAGAATGGAAGGCTCATGTGTATGTTTTTGTTGTTTTCAATTTCTTCTTTATTTCTTATTTTCTATCTTTCTTCATATGTGTATTTTATTATACTAAAAATATCTAATTAAAAAAGGTGTTAGCTGATTCCTGTTTTCCTAAAGACATTTCACAGGTTAATATGATTGACACAATGAGAGGTCTTTCTATAACCATCAATGCACATGCTGACTTCTTTTTGGTGTTCCTTAGTGGTAATTAATTTCTCAATTATCCAGCATGCATCAGCAATAATGTCTTATAATGCTGGCTTGACCTTTTCTAAAGCTAGTTTGAACCTCTGGCTTTTCTCTTTTCATGTGGGCTTTAATTTGGTTTGGATGGTCCTAAGCATTGTTTTGCTAGCATGTGAAATTAAGTGTGTTGTATAATAGTTTTCATGTTCTAAGTCTCCTTTTTTTAATTGGAATGTAGACTGACTTCTCCCAATTGATGAGCCATTGTGATGTTCTCCAAATTTTCTGGCATAATTTGGTTAAAACCTTTATCAATTCTTCTGTTGCTTTCTATATTTCCATGGGTATTGCCAGTTCCTGTGGCTTTCCACTTTGGTAATGATTGAAGTGCTGACCCAACTTCATATTTTAACTAATAGTGTTTCATGAAAGTTGGAAGTATCTCCTAAGACTCTTGGATGTTGACATCTTTTCTGTCAGACTTTAAGTATATGCCTTCCATCTTTGTTTGATCTTCTTTGAATCAGTTAATCTGGCCATTAGCATCCTTTAACAAAGTGATCTGAGATTTTTGAGTTTGGAGATCTTTTGGAAGACTTCTTTTGTTTTTCCATGTTTAATGTTTTTTATAGATGTCATTATAATATTGCTCTTTGGCTTCTCTTCTGGGTAATTTCCACCATTTGTTCTGACTTCTGGTTTGCTTTTTTTCTCATTATCTTTTAGTCTTTTTTCACATCTATTATTAACAACTTGATTTCATTCCAGAGTTGCTCTGATTCCCTATCCATAGTTCAGGACTTCAAAGCAGTTTGCAATGTTCTCTGTGAAATATTAGACACGTGCTCCAAATCATACTGTGGAAACTGGTTCATTTTCTTCTTTAGCTTAGCTTGGACCCTGAGCATGAGCATTATGTAATCTATTCTATGGTTAATTCTTTTGCTACCTGAGCTCTTCTATCCCCTTGAACCAACAATAGAATCAATTGGGTTTCAGTGACCTGACCCTCCATGTACATGCAGACATTGCTTTGGTTGTTTGAAGACTGACAACCCAAACTTGCATTTATATAAATGTAAACCGAAGTCTCCCAATCCAACAAGAAGGAATCCACCCTAATTCGAATTGAGTTAATATGAAAAAAAATGCAGAAGTTTGAAATAGGATAGAGCAGGCTACACTCTTCTTGAGCCCTTTACATTTCATAATATTATAGAGATGGCATGATTATCATAGCCCAAAATAAAATATTTTTCTTTTGCTGAAAGGAGAAAATATATTGTAAAATTTT